GGCATTGGTCATTGCGGCATAGTGGGTATTTTTTCCCCAGAGTGTCTTCATATGACGCAGTGCGAGTTCCATTGAAAGGGAACATCTCAGGTTACGACTGTAACCCTTGTTCCCTGAGAATGGAATGAGACGCTGCGTCTCCTTGCCACTCCTCTGTATGCCAGGGAGCAACTTGTTCCAATCTTTTAGAAGTTACTTTCTTTGTGTGCTGGCATCCTTTTATAACTTCCGCATTCCGTCGGCGCGTGCTACGTCACATGCTACGTCATGAAGCAGCGCCAATCAAGATTGGACTAGTGTTACACGTGCTTCAGACGCTTACATGCTGAGGGTGTTCCCCAAAGTGTCGTTATACGACACAGCGTCTCGTTCCCTTCTCAGGGAACAAGGGTTACAGTCGTAACCTGAGACGTTCTTTAAAGACAATAGTGTCATTATTCAGCTGAATTTCATTGTTGATTCAGTTCAGTTCAATAACTGTGTAAAGTTCATAATTTATGTAACGAGTTCAATTCAGCAATAAGCAGCAATAAGCAGCAATAAGCATACGTGTAGTTATTCAGCTCAAGTCAGTTCAGTGTTGATTAATTTCAAATCAGTTCGAACATAATCCTTAAAACATTTTAATCCCACTTATCCAATCTCCATGCTTTTTTTAAAGCATCTCTTACTTTCACACGCCTCTTACTTAGTCTCTGTAAGGGTCTCACAATCTTCCGGCGCCTGCTCACGACTGCATGTGTTTTGGTTATTAGCATTTCCACTGCCTGCACTAATAGGAGTGCATTATCACAGCTGTCTATTCAAGTCCTCCCCCTCATCACTCGCTTCCTATTGATCCACTGCCCCAGGCCTTTTCCGGTTAAGATGTGTCCTTTCAAGAATAATCGCCCGCTCAGAGCATTTGGTATTAGTTGGGCTCCACAATCAGATCCTCTGTGGCTAATACTGAGTCACAGGCAAAAGCACAGAGTGATGCAATTTTAAGCCATAAACAAAAACTATAAAATTTCAGGGAACTAAAGCATTTTAGGCCGCTCTGCAGGGGGTCAGTGCTAACAAGCCGTGGCTGCTTTGCGCAGGGCCTGCGGCACTAGAGGAGCGAGCATCCCAGAGCGTCCTTGAGCCCAAATGGTGTGCAGATGTACTGGTAACATCCCGTGCTGGGGCCCAGTAAGAGCAACCTGTCTGTCCACTCGCTCAGTATAGTGGGGGTGCTGGCGAAGTGCCATCGCCTCATACAGCGGCCATGTGCTCCGAGGTCTGCTGACTCTATCCCCCTGCTGACCCTCATTGCGTAAGCATGTACGGAAATAGAAGAGCAGAGGTCCTCCTCATCTAGTGCTGCTTAAAGTAAGAACCAGTTTTCTTCTGAATGTTTCAGGAGTGAGAAAAATCACTCACATTTAAGAGATTAATGGGGAGGCTATCACATCGCTAAAGCACTATTCAAATGGGAGTACAGTACTGTTCAAAAGTTTGGGGTCGGTAACATTATATAATGCTTTTGTAAAGTCTCTTATTCTCTCCAGGGCTCCATTTGTTTGCTAAAAAAAAACAGTAAACACTGGAATATTGTGAAATATTATTACAACTTAAAACAACTGTTTTCTATTTTAACATAATACAATGTAATTCATTCCTGTGATGGAAAAGCTGTATTTTCAGCATCATTGCTGCAGTCTTCAGTGTCACATTTTTCAGGATTCTTTGGTGAATAGAAAGTTTTAAAGAACAGCATTTATTTGACATATACTTCTTTTGTAACTTTCTAAATGCCTTTACTTTCACTTTTTATGCTTAAAGCCATATATGTGTGTATGTTTATATCTATGTAATCTATGTAATGTTCAGATGGGAAGGCAGTACTACTATTATTAAACCCAGAAAGTTGGCAACAATGTCCATATTGAAGGAGCAGCAGGCAGTAAGACAACAAATTTAGCTCACAGTATTCGACAAAGGTCAAAACAAATGAGGAAAAGCTTTGTGAAATAATAATATACCACAATCACAGACATTCCTATCCAGACAGGATTAAAGTTCTCAGAGGACCATAATTATTCCATTATTTTAACCGAGGATGTTTGAGGGAAAGCACCATCACGTTAGATTCTGACAGGATTAATAACACAAAATGGATTTGTGAAACACAAATTTACATGACCTCCTTAGGGAAAACTAGACCTGTCCAAATAGGCTTTATCTATATGAAAATTTACACCAGAAACTGTTAAAATGCTTATACTACTAATGGGGCAGTTTTAATAAAGTGCTATGTCTTCATTTTTATCAATACATTTGTTTTTGCCAGAGGACATCTAAATGGACAGTTCTTCAGCAAATTGCTCATGCTATTCTAGTTAGAGTAAGTAACAAGCACAATTGCTTTGTTTTTGTTTTAAATGAAAGCTTTGATTGTTTGAAATAATGAAGCATTATTCAATTTAGTTAGATACACATAATCAAAGCCACTATGCCGTTTTCAAAGAAAAACTATATGCTCTACTTTCCCAAGAAAAGTTTATTTTTATTTTTATAAACACTTCCCCTGTGGGGTAAAGATTATGAGAGCATGCAGCCTCTATTTTCAACTTCCATTTATTTTGGTTTATTTTGAGGCATTATATGCAGAGAAATGCTATGGCGTGTTTACTGTCAAACTGCTTCTCTGAATTCCCTCCTGTCTCTGCCCCCAGGGCACATGTAAGAAGGTTTTTGTGTCACACAGGACAGGAAGGTCCTCCCAGTCTAGCCTTTTGTCAAGAAACAGGATGAAAACAGCTAGCTGCCAACTGCGGCTTGTCATTATGCCACAGCAGCTTTGCTCTCCTTTCATACTTTGATGCCCCGTTTTTTACCCAGCACCACTCATTCTGTGAATGACAGAGGAGCCGGGTTAAACTCCACTGACAGGTGAGCACTGGTGTGGAATACACAGGCCATTCCTAATATTTTCTTTGAGGTTACGGTGTTTTGTCATCTTAGTGAGAGTATAGTCAATTCACTCCTTCTACTATAAGTATTGGCATGTTAACATTTAGATAGGATGCCTTAATCTAATATGCAGATTATAAGTCTTATTTTCTGCTATTATACAATGCAGTAAGGCACCAAACATTGCAACTCTATTTACCTAATAAGTCCTAAATATATAGTTCTTAATTAAATAAAGTCATTAGTTCATTTAATGAGGGTATAGGTACATTAGCTCAGTGAGTACTTAATTCTGATTGCCTGACTGGATCTTGTCTAAACACTACAGCTGAATGGTTTGTTTTTATTTTGATTATTTGACAAATATTGCAATCACAGTATGATATACATTTTAACATCCCATATTGATGCTGCTGTTTAAATATTAATGCTACCAGAATAAAATAATAAAATTTCACACAGTTGATCTTTCAGGGTCTTCACATTTGGGACCTCTTAAAAAAAAACAAAAAAAAAACAGATCACTTGAGCCAACATTTATAATTAATGTATACATAATTTTATAAAATAACTAGGGCTGTCAAATGATTAATCGTGATTAATCACATCCAAAATAAAAGTTTTTTTTTTTACATAATATATGTGGGTGCACTGTGTATAATTATTTTGTATATACACATGCATGTATATTTAAGAAAAAAATATTATTTATATATAAAATATTTATATTTATATATAATATAAATTATATATAAATCTATAGTATATACATGAAAATATTTCTTAAATATATACAAGCATGTGTGTGTATTTATATATATATATATAATACTTATACACAGTGCACCCACATATATTATGTAAAAAAACCTTTTATTTTGGATGTGATTAATCACAATTAATCATTTGACAGCCCTAAAAATAACATTTTATTAAATTAATATTTATGATTCATGGAGGGTGTCCTAGAAACACTGCCAAATCTCACATTCTCACAATCTCACAAGATACTCCTGTCCAAAATGGCTGGAAGGTCTGAGCACAAGACCACTCTGTGTTTAACCTGAACATCTGTTCACCGTGTATTTCATTACACAGTTTCCCCTGCTAGAGGACCCAATTCAACTGCAACTTCACAACTTCTGTATACTTGCACCCAGCCTCAATCCATCCATGACACACTGACTTTGGAACATTAGCTAGACAGGGAGAGGGTAATCAGTAGGGCAAATTGTTTTGAAAAGCAGCATCCAGTAAAACTGCGTATAAGCTGACCCCTAGCGTGATTTTGATTAGAAATCCAGGGAAAGATGCCAAAATATCTTCCCCGGATTAATCAAGGCAGATTAAGTCTGAGATAATCTAGTCTAAATAATCCTAAACAGCATGGATATTTCATCTGTCCACTTGGCCCAATCTGTGGCACTAACACCAAAGAGTGTGTGGGAATGCTGAAATATGTGATGACCCTCATCCTCACATCCAGTTTGCCACGACATTGATCCAGGCTAATTAAGCCTTGGACACGATCCCATAGAAAACAAGTCTCTCAGTTTGATTGATGAGAGCCAGCTCAATGATACTTCCGGACTGGAATTACCCAAGATGAAGAGGAGTGTGCATGCCCTTGATATCCCGGTACGGTATCTTAATTTCTGCACCATCAGTCTGAAATCTCATCGCTGGGGAGGACTCCGCTGACCCATGGCATATCGATTTCTCAGGTGCCTTGACAAGTGAGAGATAACCTATACAGGTTGTCCTTGGACCCCAGAAACCTGAGTCCAAGAAGGTCTTGTCGCCTGTGATCTCACAGAGGAATATATAATTCTCTGTTCCCTGTCATTCAGTTGGCCACCTGATGTAAAGTTTCAGTCAGCAGCTGGAAAATCAATTGATGTACTGATGAGATGTGACAAGAAGACAGCCCATATTTGTGTCTGGGGCTGGGCCCATGTCCCTCTTAGTTAAACTGATTTAAAGTTGATCCAAGCAAAGGACACTGGACACATTAGCAGAGCTATCCAGAAAAGGGATCATTCGTGGGGATATTGGGATATTTGGGATTATTTGCACAGGCAAAAGCGATCTACAGAACCTAAGATTTAAATCTGAAGCTGCCATTGTAGGAGAATGATGTGTCGTTATTTCTGCAATTCCATTTAGTTAGTGGCAAAGGAATTACACAGTTTACCTTTAAATGAAACATAACCAAGGACTCCATTAAGACTCCTGAGTAATAAAGAAAATTCACCCCTAAGGGTGATCCCTTTGTCCACTCACTTTACAACGTAGTAGCAGCAGCAGCTCATACATGATTATCTCTCATGCAAGTCCACCGGTGTGACTAATACAGAAGTTCAATTCCACTCCCTCAGCTCTTGAAAACCCTCACAGCCAAGGCACTCACCCACCTGAGTCTCATAAAGAGGATGAAGGCGACCAGCAGGGCTCCCAGAGAGATGCAGTGTCCAAGGTAGTTTATGATGACTGCAATGTGGTAATGCAGCTTGCTCTTCTTCTAAAGATCACAAAGGGACAGACACACACACACACACACACACACACACACAGAGAGAGAGAGAAACACATTAGGAAGATAAGAGACTGATGTCCTGCAGATATCTGACATCTAAATCCCAACATGGAATAACTCCTAAAAGCTTTTTGGGGCATTACAGGGACAGAAAAAAAAACAACAACAACAAATTGGTGGGATAAAATCAAACAAACATGAGAACTCTTAGGAACTCTGACAGTGTCAAGACAACTGAAAAATAATATTTTAAAATTCAATCGGAAGGTATTGAAAATTATCCTAAGTCAATAATCAAAGCAGCATCCATTTTCTTGTTTGAACTATTCAAATAAAACTGGTTTAATATGCAGTGTCATATTAAAAAGTTTGCATTTGTATTTGTTATATTAAGAAATTGCACTCCCATTAGTCCTTTGTAATACTGATTGGATTGGCTACCTTTACAATCCTTTAATCTTTAAATTTTCTAGATTATTATGCTTATCTGGTGCTGTCACATTAGACTTGTGTCCCTCAGTGGCATTATTGATAAAATACGCATTAAATAACTTAACATCACACAGACTAACTCTTAACCTAATCCGTAATCAATGGCCTTGCACATCACATTATACCGCTCTGCCTGACACTAATGATAACAGCATCCAACCAGCAACTTTCCAACTCTTATGAATAGTTTGCTCTGTGATGAGTGAGGCAGATGTTCATGGATTCCACTATCATGATGATTGCCAACCTGACATAATTCCTTTAATTAAGCGATTAGCTTCGGCTCAGTCAAATGGATTGCTTGCTTATAGCACAACAACTCACATGAAGCTGAAGTTTATGCATATGCCTATGTTTATCCTAACATGTTATGTTTTTGGACAAAATCATATCAAAAGCCTGGCCAAACGATTCCAGGAAGCATATGTTGATCACGTAACACTCAGGTTAGTATGTGTGAGCATATAGGCATCATGTGCTTTTCCATCATGGGCCCAGCACCTTTCCTTTCTCTTGCCCCTGACTGTGTCCTCCTGGTGCAAAAATCTGTCGCTGAATTCCTGTGGTCGTCACAGGACAGGCCTGTGATGCAAACCCCCACTGGTCACTGCAGACCCGGCGGACCACTGAGACCAGAGGACCAGACTGTCCAAGCAGGTGGAGGAAAGGCAATTCTGGAATCAAGTGCCTACGAAATCTATAAGGCTCATGAACTCGCCAGCTAGCACAATTTAACTCAGAAGACATTGCTCAGACGGCAAATCAATCAGAAACAGCAAGGGCGGATGTGCTTATTGCTTTAGGATTGAGGTAATACTTTAGGAGAGAATTTGGAAAACAATGAATACATTTTTTGCTCAACATAACATAGCAGTCCCCCTAAGAGCCATTACAAATATTACTTTTTATACATTACTTTTCATGCATAAATACGTCGCCAAGATGTCTGCCAAAGCGTGCATCATCTGAAAAGCACTATGATCAATTTTAAAAGGCTTGTGTGTGTGTCAAAACATCTGATAACAATTTAAAGGGATAGTTTACATTAATCATTCTCAATTTACTTCTCCTCATGTTCCAACACCTTCATACGAAAACACAAACAAAGATATTTTGAAGAGTGTTTGCCACTGTTTAAAACTTTTGGCCATAAAATGTAAGTCAATGGGGTCGACAACAGTGGACACCCACCCCCAAAAAATTATAATTGTATTCTTGAATGTATGAATGAATGAATGAATGAATGAATGAGGCATTTATATAGCGCTTTCATATGTACTACTGTACACCCAAAGCGCTTTACAATCATATCAGGGGGTCTCTCCTCAACCAGCACCAGTGAAATAGGTCACTGGATTCTTATCTGCTCTAAATTAAAGAAGACATGCAGTTTTGGAATGTCATAAGGCTGAGTAAATTATGACAACATTTTCAATTTGGGGCGGACTATTTAAAAATAAAGGATTCACATTTCCACCAATACCATTTAAAATGTGCGGTTTGGTATAATTTTGTATACATTTCTGCTATATTTTCAACAATTTTAAGCTCACCAAAGCTGCATTTATTTGATTAATACAGTAAAACTTTCAATATATGCCATACTTCAGTATTCAGTGTCACATGATCCCTCAGAAATCATTCCAATATGTTAATTGGGTTAATTGGTCTTTACTGTCACTTATTATCAATTTAATGCATCTGCGCTGACTAAAAGTATTAATTTTTATTATTAAAATGTTTATTATTAAAATGTTATTTTAAAAATAATATATAAATATATACCCCCAACCCCCCCCCCCCCCCCCCCTACAAAAAACAAAACAAAACAAAAAAACAGAATGACCCCAAACTGAACTTTAGTGTATATTCTGAAATTTACATTTTGCAAATATGTCAACATATCAAAGACATCAAAGGTCCAGGAAACAGGTCCAACTCCCAGCCTAAACTTACTGCATTGGTTGAGCCAATGACATTACGTCCGGCCCATTCGGGCTGTTCAAACGAAAACATTACAATTATGTTTGGTGCTGTTCTGAAATGACACACTCTACCTTTAAATTTTCCGTTTCAACTGTCAGACTAAAGGACTTTAAAAAACACGTTTTCAATGATTTGGGCATTAGTAGGGGTTTACACTCTCCCCGTCTGATGCCACTTCTTTTAACTAAATCCTGAGAGAAGGGATTTTCAAAGCAGTCTCTCCTGATCCCTGCATTGTATCAAGCTTGCCCTATTTTAAGAGGAGGCTCGGCGCACCAAGACACCCGTGGCATGCTCACCAATACAGCGCAAGATGTTCCCCCTCGGGATGCTGCTCCTGGCTAGACCACGAGTCGTCTATAGCCAGATGGATTCACAGGCCATGAGCCTATGGGAGCGCTTGCACTCACATTCAGAATTTTACTGTCATTTTGTGTTTTTATAATACAAAGTTTCTTGCGGGCTTTTGGAAAAATGTCTACTTCACTAAATACATGAAATGCTTCCTAAAAGTGGGGCGTTCTCTGTGGATGCAAGCTGGGAAGGGGCAGACTACATTCTTGCATTAGCACCCTATCTCTTACAGACCCCGCAGGGAGCTTGTAGGCAATGTAAGATGCATTGTCGATGTCCTCTTGTTGCACTTTCCTCTGTAGAGTGCTTTCTTGTGTTGAGAGGGCATGGGGGTTTAGGAATATTAACACCTATGCAGCCTGAAAAATACTTTAGGCAGTTAAAAAGAGGAAACAGTCTTTTAGAGATGTCTTGGCTCTTTAACTTCTGTCTATGACTACAAAGCAGACGGAAACTTCCTCAGTAATATTTAAAATAGTGTACAATTTCTGTAAATAAATTTGCTTTTGAAAACATTTCCAGTACATAATCCACAGGAAATTCAACTATTAACTGGACATTTCCTCTTGGAAAAAGCGCATACGGTGAGACTAACAAGAATTTTAGGACACTTAAACATGCCTGAATGGCATTACTGTCACGTTCAGCTCAGTTTAGTTTTGTTTATGGACTTTCAGTGTGTTTTCATTTGTCACATGTTTCTTTATTCAGTTTCCCACTACTCACTTGTATACTTGGTTACCGTCATTATTAGTTCATGTGCGTCAGCTGTGTCTAGTAATTATCCCGTTGTGTTCACTACTTAAGTTGTTCCTTCTCCTGCACTCCTCGTCCAGTCTTCATAATACCTACAGTCATGTTGATGTGAGTTTCCCTGCCTGTTACCTGATTCTTGAGTGTTGTTATTATTAAAGTGTTGTTTGGATTTGATCTTTTGAGTCTTCAGCCTGTTCTGAGTACACCACACCGTTACAATTACATTAGATATATATATATAGATATATATATATATATACAAACATCAAAGCTCATTCACTTTTAAAAATAAAGCTGCTTTGTTTGCATTTATGGCTCAATGAAGAACCTTCATTGAAGAGTCCTCATCCCATGGAAGTGCATGCAAAGTGGGTTTGCTTTCGCAGCGCAGAAAACCGCGTCTTCTCAACATGTCTAACCAAACTTTTTCAAGCCTCACCTACAACTACATTGTTTGAGAGAGGGTCAAAGTAGACATTGTTTGCTGGCAGCCAATGAAGACCATTGGCTGCATAATGCATATTTGATACAAACCTACGTAGGTTTGTGCAAGAAGTAAGACTGGACTCGTTTCAGGCAGTTCAGAAACTGTTCTTTCTTTTGTGAGACAATATCTCCATTTATCATGCATTTTGATCTTTGAAACTTTGCAGATCTTTTACATTCACAAACAGCTAAAAACACACATGAAAGGTAACATCTGAAAAAAGCATAACAGAGCCACTTTAAAATTATTAAAATGTACTTCACACTAGAGTCTTTGTTTTGTAATGCAAAATGGTTCCTCTATGGCAGTGTTTCTCAACTCTGCCCCTGAAGGACCCCCAACACTGCACGTTTTCTTTGTTTCCCTAATCAAACACACCTGATCATAATGATCAGATGAGTTGAATCAGGTGTGTTAGATTAGGGAAACAAAGAAAACGTGCAGTGTTGGGGGTCCTTCAGGGGCAGGGTTGAGAAACACTGCTCTATGGCAATATCTGCGGAAACCCCCTTTTGGAACCTTTATTTTTAAGAGTGTAACTTCTCAAACCAGCAGGTATAACTTACACAGTCCACAGGAAACAAAGCAGCTATTGCTCCACTTCACTGATCTTCTGCATGTTTCTGTCTCATAACCAGGTGGTTTGAGGGCAATTGCTCATTGAGGTTAAGCACCATCAAATCTAATGTCGTCCCTTATGATCTCCTTTCCTGCTACAGGGAACATTTAATTAAAAACATTTGTTCTGTTTTTTGTTTTCTCTCAATAAAGAGGGTGGGAGAGGTGGGGGAATGGGAATTTTATTTTATTAGGGGAAATATGATTTCTTTAGTAATAATGGCAACCTGTGATTTAAAAAAAAAGCTAAACTTTAGATGAAAGACCTCAAAATCTTGTGGCTCATTGAACA